GTTAGTATTTTTGTCCAAATTCTTATAGTCGTTTCTTTGATTAAATATTCTGACATTCTTACTAATTATACTCTTACGCTTTACCTTAGACTATCCACACACGCCAAACTTTTTGTCCGAAACCACTATTAACTATCCTGTACTTGCGGTGAGCTCAGTCAACTCTGATTTCTGGACCGATAATCCTTTGCAAGCCTTATATAGTTCTGAGGATCTCTCCATATATATATAATCTCTCCATTATATGGATTCAAAATATAAGGAACAACTGGATTTCGAACAATCCCTTAATAGATTAATGCTGGCAAACCTTTCATTTCGTTTGAAAAGGGGGATGGAAGGGATTCGTGACTTAGCCTCACCGGATACTGAAGGTGGATTGCCTTGGACTTGTGACTGTTGGATTATGCGAAAAAGACCTCGGCTCACTATTCTGCAACCCCGAGGAATCCGTGTATTTTTATGCTTCCTAATCGGTCCGACCATATTTTTTAAAGTTGACATGACCGTAATAGAGTTGGTGATCTCTGTAGTTTCGTGTGAACAATGGATAGACGTCATAAATTGCCCTCATCAGAAACAGAAGGACGATTGCTGATTATATATTCGTTTAAATGTTTGGTGCACCCCGACGTATTCATTCTTGGTATAGTGTTTGGTGAGGTCTGTCAACGAATTTTTCTTCCTCCGAAGTTGTGTGAAATTTGGAGAACTAAAAGCCCAGCACATATTCTTTGGAGGTGTGGTATGGTACGCAATTCCAGGACAATCTTTCTTCGGCTTTCAATAATGCCAATCAACGAATCCCTCCATTCAACTTTTTATGTGGCATGAAAAGTCAAATGATATGGCATTAGTAAATAACTCTGAAAAATCATGTTTTTTATCATATATTTGCTTATCCACACTAAAAGATAGTTTTTATCTACTTAAATTTCTAGTCATATTTGTAATTGGTGCCACTAAACACACTTGTGATCATGAACTTCATGATACTCGTTTTCACTTCACAACTCCTTTGAAGAACCTTCAATTATGGGTTTTCAATTGACATCCATTCTTACTTTTGTCTGCTAGCTAGAAAATCCAAAACTTAAAATACTTAATTTTTCCTATTTTTTCTTATGCAAAACTTATATAGCCAGGGGCTAATCATACTTTTTAGGTAAACAATTATTGGCATAGTATTTTTCCTG